CTGATCCTGAGGTGGCATGGCCGCCGCTAAGAAAATATCAGGCCCATAACAATAAGGAAAAGCCTAAGGGCTAATATATTAAAGAGAAAAATATATAGAAAGGTTGTATAAGAGAGCCTAAAGAAAGGCCCAACTCACACAATACAACACACACAAATCCCAAATAAATCGAAAATATATAGAGATAAAAAATCAAAATACCACCAACGAGGGCAAAAGTGCTAGAAATGTCTCATTAATCCTCCCACTGCCTCTAGTTCTTGGAAGAGAATCGACTAACAAATTGGTAAGGTGAGTACCATTATCGGAACTAACAAAATATCATCCATCAGATTCCTGAGCTCAAATAGATCTTCATTCTTCTTCTTCCTCCTGGATGTGTAGACCTGTCATTCCTAATCCGATGATTGACTCATCTGATCAATGGATTGTTCCAAAGGTCGTCGGACAGGTGTAGGTTGTTGCACAATATGATCCTTATGAGCTTGAGTAACATTAACAGCTTCCTCGACTTGATGAGGCCATAGTGGAGCAGTAGAAGCATTATTGTCTATAATATCAGTGATAGGTTTTAGGGGAGGTGGGGTCTGAAGAATCTCTCTCCCCCAAGATAGGAGGTTCTAAAGGCAGGAGAGCTACAACATTTTTGAGTAAAATAATGAAATTTCAGTCCATAAAGGTGAATCCAAACTGGAATGATTGGTGGTTCCGTCTGTAGGACAATCCACAGACCATTTCAGAATTTTCATTGCTCTATTATTAATTCAAATTATCCTTCTAGAAAATAAGCGCGTGTAATCTTCTTCATTATTAAGTTGAATAAGAATGTGTCTTCCATCTAAAAGTCCAATTTTTCACCCCCCAACAAGGTGCATAAGCTCAAATTCCTTACGAATTAGCTCTATTTTGGGATGGTCATACAGAAATTTCCTGACCAAATTCAGACAACAGAGGAAAGCAAGTTGAATACCTTCAGCTAAAAAAGAAGTCAGAGTTTCCATTATTCCTACCATATTTCTTGATGTCCTCCGCCCACTCAAACAAAGGAGGAAAATAACACGAGAAAAATATTGCAGCTGCACCAACCTAATCAAGGATAAATTTATTTCACATTGTCTCTAAGTGTAAATATATATAGTCAATATCTCAAAAGAAAACAATGTCCCTTAAAAAATTAAATCCGCTAAAATCAGACTAACAAGTCAGTCAAAAAGAATGTGTTGAATTTAAAAACACGGATTAAGTATATGTTCAACACATGTTTGGGTTTTCAAATGTTCAATTCAATTTAGGTTTTAAATTTTTTAAAATTTTTGGTTCAGTTTCATGAATATATTCTATATTAAACTCTAAACCAGATTCTAGAGCTGGTTCATGTGAATATTTAAACTTAACAAAATCAAATGTAGAATGATTTTGCAACAATAAATCTTATTGAATTCATTCTATTAAAAAAAATCATGAATTACAATTTATTTAATATAATTAAATTCGATCATATATGATATTGATGCTAATATATGCTTGTTGAGCTTTATGTCATATTTATAAGATTTTCTTCATATAATCACTAATCAAGTATTGTCAGCCATAACAAAAGCATAATGTAAATATCTTTCAAACTTTAACGCTTTTAAACTCTATATCAGGCTTCATCTAATGCTTTTGGAGAATTATACCTTAAATCATGTTTAACTTCTCATAAAATACTTTTAATGAAACACATATCGATAATAGAATATATTTTAAACAAAATTTGTTTGGCTAAAAATCTTTCAAACCTAAGAAAATATTCAACACTATAATAGATGAATAGTAAATATTATTCTTTAATTTTAAGTTTCATTTTAGAACAAGAATAGATTACTTTATTTGGAATGGTTTGTCAAAACATTTGTTTAATCACATAAATCTTATTTTTTAAAATTTTATTCATTACAAATTGTAGCACAATTTTTAAACATACACCCTGAATAAAAAAAGGATGTCCTTAGGTGTAGGTCATAAACATCTGGCATATAATAAAAAAAAATAATGAGACATACAAAAGATTTATAATATTTTACAAGAAATTATACATTAAAAAATTAGCACAAAAGTACAAATAAGATCAAAAAGTAAGCACATAGAAGCCAAATATATTGCAATAAAACATGGCACTCCAGCAAAACACTCAAAACCCACCTAAGTTAGGGCATGTTTGGGGTGGTTGCAAATAAAGGTGTTTCTATAGCTATAATAGGGAGAAAATATTGAAAATTGTTGTGGGTATAAGAAACATTCTTTTATTCAAAATTATACATTAGCTTTCTTATGACTATCACACTCAACAAATTTGGTTGCAAAAAGAGCTTTCGACTACATAAATTTCTAGAAACCAACAAAAAAAACTAGTATGAAAAGTAAAGCAGTGGGAAAACTAATCCCAAGCAGACCTCAACAATAAGTTTCCCAAATGACACCAACAGCAAACCGGTCAGGAACTTCAACTTAAAGCTGTTCAACAAAAAGGTTTTCACCCAGCTTTTTATCAACAAAAAGGTTTTCACCCAATAGAATCATTGACAAATGAAGTTCAAGTGATTTACAACAACTCAATCAATTATTATAAAACTAGTAAATATCACAAAAAGGTTCAAATAGTATGTCTGTTACGCCGGTCCCTAAGGGCAATTTAGCCTTTTGTGTGTCTAAGGGCAACTTAATCTTTTGTTATTTATTATTGTGTAATATAAATAAGGCCAATATGGTTAAGGTTAGGGTTATGCATGAAATTCTGTCGTGTGTCTTAGGGTTAGGGTTTGAAAGAGATTTCCCACCTCTCGAATTGTAGGATTTGGGAGAGACCTCTTGAATTGTAGATGCTTATCTTTTATGCATTTGAAGTTGTAATATTGATTTGCTTTTGGCGGAATAAAATAGAAATTATTTCTGTTCTAATTTCTCTAGAAAAACATCTCAGTTCCTATCACTATGCTTTTCAACAAAAAGTAAACGTTGAAGTAACTGCACTGAACAGATTTCACACCTTAAAAAAGCAATCCCATAGCAACTTCTTGTTTTCACCTGCAGTATAAGTTTTAAAGCATTTCATGACCTCAATAAATGAAATGCTAAATCCTGCTAATAAAAGGATAAGCACATTGGATGTCCATTTTTATGGTGCCCTTAACTCTATTATTCACAGTAATCTGCTTTGAAAAACCATCATTCTATTTAAAAAGTTCCATAAAAACAATCTGAATATTATAATCCATGCAATCTGCTAACTTAGAGGTAAAATACTTCATTAACCATGACCACGTAGAAGAAAGCAATGCTGATCAATTGCATATCTACTACATATATAACATTCAAATGAAAGAGTAAATGTAATGTTAGAATATAGAACAGTAAGACCCCGAGAAAGTCACCGCATAATGTCTCTTTCATCGAAATTCTAATATACAATTATCCTAAAGAAAATAACAGGTTGACTATGGAAAAGGTTATTAGCCAGACAAACGGTGTGTTCGTTCAAAAGTAAAGCTTTGACAATTTCTGAGGATAAATGACAAATGAGCAATAAAAACTGCAATTAATTAGAAATTGAAAGTGAGACCAGCTTAAGTATGCACGTAAATATCCAATATGATTAAAGCGAAAGCACAATGAGATAGGAAGGCTTTATTTTTGGTTCAAAGGGCAAAGCGGCATCTTTATTAACTAATACGCTAATAGGTTATATAAAACTATTAATATATAAATACCTTCATTAACAATTATAAAACAAAAAATATAACTTAAAAGTTAATCTAAAATAAAAAATATAAATATGGTGAAATACCTAATTTTAAGGCAAACATTGAGAGTGAACCTGTAAATTAAACTTTTGACTAATTTCTAATAGTTTGCTGCAATAACTAAAAACTTGAAAATCGCAAAAAAAATCTTAGAACTCCAAATAAAATTAAAATTTTCAAGCATAAATAAACTAATAAAGTCTCAAGTTCCATAAAACAAACAAAATTAATTCATTAGCCCTTTATTCCATCTGGCTAAACTGTGAACCGGACCAACCGCTTTGCATCAGCGCTTCAAAGTGCGCTTCAACAAAGCAGGGCAGGACTCATGTGCTTTGCTTGGCTTTGCACATCAAGAGGCTTAAAAACATTGGTACATAAATGCACAGAGTGATACATAGGTAAATATAAAAACAAGGAGATGTATTAAGACCTAATATACAATTATCCTAAAGAAAATAACAGGTTGCTATGGAAAAGGTTATTAGCCAGACAAAAGGTATGTTCGTTCAAAAGTAAAGCTTTGACAATTTCTGAGGATAAATGACAAATGAGCAATAAAAACTGCAATTAATTAGAAATTGAAAGTGAGACCAGCTTAAGTATGCACGTAAATATCCAATATGATTAAAGCGAAAGCACAATGAGATAGGAAGGCTTTATTTTTGGTTCAAAGGGCAAAGCGGCATCTTTATTAACTAATACGCTAATAGGTTATATAAAACTATTAATATATAAATACCTTCATTAACAATTATAAAACAAAAAATATAACTTAAAAGTTAATCTAAAATAAAAAATATAAATATGGTGAAATACCTAATTTTAAGGCAAACATTGAGAGTGAACCTCTAATTAAACTTTTGACTAATTTCTAATAGTTTGCTGCAATAACTAAAAAATTTAAGAACTCCAAATAAAATTAAAATTTTCAAGCATAAATAAACTAATAAAGTCTCAAGTTCCATAAAACAAACAAAATTAATTCATTAGCCCTTTATTCCATCTGGCTAAACTGTGAACCGGACCAACCGCTTTGCATCAGTGCTTCAAAGTGCGCTTCAACAAAGCAGGGCGGGACTCATGTGCTTTGCTTGGCTTTGCACATCAAGCGTGCTTAAAAACATTGGTAAATAAATGCACAGAGTGATACATTGGTAAATATAATAACAAGAAGATGTATTAAGAGCCTTCATTAGCTCCAAAAAAATTACTCACTTGTAGTTTGTGATTATCTCCAAGAAAAAGCGGTCTCTGATTAACTCCCAAATAAAATATACATTCCCGGCAGTTTGCAATACAAATGCGTTTAGCAGCAGCAATCAGCTGTACCCTTTCACAGTGCTCCACTCTTACATCCTGCAGGAAAAAAAAAATGCAGTTGTTAGTTATAAGAATTTATATGATTTTCATAAACCTTATCAGCAAAAAAGCCAGCACGTCTCTAGCTAACTCTAGGACAGCGTTTTTACATAACAAAAAGTAAACTTGATAGAAAAAGCAAACTAAAACTCAGCTTAAGAGTTCAATTATTTTGTAAACAAGTTTGTGACAGTAAATTCAATAGAATATATAACTCATCCATCTATCCAAAGAAAACCTCTTCTTGCTGATTTAACAAGTGTACAAAGTCTCAAAAGGTTGAAAATGCCATTTTTATGAAGTTTATAAGTCTGTCAAAGTGTTACATCATAGATATAGTATATTATATAGGCAATGGCGAAGAAACATTTTTCTAATCCACAATTACCCTAATGGTATGTATAAATGCTGTAGACATCCTACATTTCATCATGGCGCCCAACTTTAAGAAAAACTTGTAGGAAAAAAGGGACCAATCTACACATCCTTATTTGCTATTTTCAATATGAAGAAATAGCAGGTAGAGAATGCTGAAGTTTATTTGAACAAATGGTTCTAAAAACGTGCAATCTTATTAGAAGTAACAAAGTTAGAAGAATGGGTAGGTTCATGCAAGATAAAAAAATTAGGTTAGGCCTATATTAAAGACAGCATATTTAGCAATGAGCTAGTAGGAACAAATAACTGGAAGGAATGATGCAAAACTAACACAGGAAGATTGATGGTTGCAGTAAACAATACAATAAAATATTCTGCCCAACAATACCACAGATCAATATTCATGCTAAAAAAATCACAAAAGAATTTTACTTACCTTACCAATCGCACCAAGAACAAGAGTTGCATCAGAGCAGCCATTAACAATAGCGTATTTCATGGGCGCTAGTAAATATATCACTGAATCATGGCAATTCAAAATCTGCAAAGCAATTTAATTAAATGGTCAAAAACATGCGTCAATTGTTTCATTCATCAATCAGAACAAGAACAAGAACAAAAGCTCAACAATGACGTGTAAGATAACATTTTTTTTACCAACGTATAGAAGCATAGGCGGCATCTTCCTATACCATTCAACAGGTAAAAATCAACTAATAATAAGTATCAATTTTCAATTATTTTCTAATAAATTGGTAAAAAAAGTTTAATTTTCACAGGCAGAAAGCAAACCAATAAGAACACCAGGATGAACTAGATTATTAATGGGCACCAAAACAATCACAGATTTTAAGCTAGTGTTTGCGAAATAAATGCTTCCTATAAAAGTTAAAACCTAAAGCAACTACATTACTTTTTATTAAAAAAAAAAAAATTTCTCAACGAATAAAAGAATACAATGTAACAGCCACATCATCTACATCACTATCTACCGTTTAGGTGGTAACACATTTATATGGATAAAACTGAGATTTTCTTTTTGTTAAATGAAAGAATACATGCTATAAATCATAGCAGCTTGCGGAAGAACCCAATAGGAAATGCCTTAACTTAATCAGAAAGTACATGCTGAGAACCACAGCAACATGACAGATGAAAGAGCCAAAAGAAAAAAAAATTCATTGATCTTCCAAACCTATTAAAATAGGAAGATAACTTGTAAGTACCTGGCATAGATGTTAGAGCCATATATATATGGACTGAATAATTAACGCTGTTCTTAACATGAATAAATTGTTCAGCCAAACTTGAGAATTAGGATTCTAAAACCAAGTCAGAAATATATCCTCCCTTAAGACACTTGGTGGATCTAGTAAGAAGGTTATTTTCAGTTGAAATACCCCATCAATGGACTTTCCAATTCTAGCTAAAAAAAAAAAAATCAAGCACATTAGCATAGCTCAAGAAACAATGTGGTAAGCCTTTTGTAATGCTCATTGGAATGAAAATGAATCCCAATCCCCTTGCGAGCCTCAAATTTAGTAAAGGTACATCCTTTGCTTTAGAATCAACAAAATAATATCATATAAGAAAAATAAGTCTTTTATAGGAAAGATATAGAGAAACACTGCAAGTAGAAGTTGAAGGAAAATTGAACTTTACAAAAGAAAGGGAAGTTGGGACTCAGACAATCATTCATAATAGAATCCTTACAACTGGAATGCAATTCTGAAGCTTCCAATCATATTTCTTAAGGATCGAAGAAAAAACTTTTAAAAAACCCACCCTGTCGGCGCACGGCTAAGAGAATTGACTTGAGTACTGCCAAGGAATGAAAAAAAACTTCGTCCACCAGTAACTTTTGGAACTGTTGGTGAGAACAAAAAGGATTGGGCCTACGCAGGTTGAAGAACAGAAAGAAAATGAAGGTCTCACCTTTCTCAAACACATACAAACATAAATGTCTCTCTCTCTCTCTCCCTCCCCCCCTCTCTGAAAGAGGTTAAGAGAAATCTATGTGCTTCTTTGGAATAACTTTTATTTTTTGTTATTGTTATTGTTATTGCTTTTGTTTTTAAAAACAATTTCATTTAGTGTATTTTACATGTTTTTATTTTTTTTAAAACAAATCAAAATGTTTCTAAAAACACTCAAAACAACATTTTAGTTGTCTTGAGAGTTCGAAAACAAACATTCTTATTTTTGCTTACCAAACAAGTTTTGATTCAAATCAAAACAGCCACAAAAACAACAAGCCTTTATCCCCCAAACTGAAGTCAGCTATTTGTGTCCTATTTAGTGTCATATTTGAGAGTTTTCAAAACAACATTTTAGTTTTTATTCAAAACAAAACATAAACAATAAATAGATAAAATAGAAACGAAAAATAGAAAAAAAAAAATGAACCCAACCAGCCCCAAGTTAATACTCTTTTCTGTGGAAAATGCTCATTTCTCACATAAATAGGATTTTAAGAAATGAAAGTAAAATAAAATGAAGAGCTTGATATATATCTACTAAAGAAATAAAAACAACTTTTTGGTAAACAAATTTACCCGTTTGTTAAAAAAAAAGATGGGTAATGCCAATCACTAACACTGCATCCTTCATGCTTCAATTTTGAAGTAACAAGTTATATACCAGAAAGAACAAATAACGAATATATATACCAAAAAACAGGAAGCCAATCAACGAGTGCCAGTCCAACATTTTTTAAAATTTTCATTTTATTTTGGACGTGCCATTGTAGCCTTCTTTAAGTGTTCATACTACATAGGTTTTGCAGCAAAAGAAAAAATATATTAAACATCTGTAAATTAGAACAGGACATCCAAACAAATTATTCAAATACAAAATACCTCCACAAAACCATGGAAGCATAAGCTCAATTAGAACCAGTTAAAAAGATTTCAAAAGGCAAGAAAATAATGACAGCAACAATTGGCAATGCATGTAGTGATCTACTGTATTGTTAGCGATTGAAAATAGGATGCCCCATATTCAATGCAGGCAACAACCATCCAGCAGCAGCAGTAAAACACTCCCACATTATCCTCCACTGCTCAGCATCCTCCACTAATCCCCACCATTGCCACTTAGCTTTAGAACCATCTCCTCGAGTATAGACAACACAATTTAAATACTGGTACTCGGAAATTGATGAAAACTAGATGCTAGATGCTTGTCATCAGAAATTCTCAGCTAATAAATTTCATGAACGTCTGCTTCCAAAATTGAGCTTTATTTCTAAAGACATAGTTCAGTCCATACACACAGACAATGAATTAAAGACTATCAGCCAAAACACTAGTTTGGATTGCTTCAAAGAATACAATAAGCTCTAAACAGCCAAAAAATTTACTTTTCTATGCTTAAAACATTCAAACTTCTTAGATTTGTTTGACAGAAAAGTTACCAAGTATGCATGCAGTTACAAACAGGCTTTATGAAAAGAATGGTAGAGAAAAAACTTGTTTTCTATGAATGCAAAAAGATCCATTATGCAGGTAACTGATACATGTGTTACAATAAATAAAATAATCAGTTGGTAGCAGAGGCTGAAAAATATCACTAAGCAACGTGCATCATTTATGATAATGATTTTTTCATATTTGCTTGTAAACAAAAAAGAGAGCAAATGTAAAATGATACAATAAACTTTGAGAAACCAAGCATATTTTAAGAATTTATACATTAAATATTTAAATGTTATCAACAGTACCTTAACAGAATGTCCTTTAATATCACATGGTTGCTTAACTAACGAAGCTTTAGAGATGCCTTCCACAAATGTCTGAGTTCTAGAATTCCCAGGATAGCTTTGCATTGAAATCCCAGTTTTTGAGTTGCTAGTTTGGTTTCTAAAATGGCACGGAGTTGCATCAGCCATGGTCACATCAACATCCAATGCACTGGAAGGGCCATTTTCCTTGGCCATCGCCTTCTCAGCATTATGCTCTAATGAATCATTGATGATTTGTGAAATCCAGTCATGAACTTGAGCAGCTGAGACAGGCGCAGCAGGCATATCTGAATCTGAATTTGAGAAAAATGGGGCTGCTTGCCTTAAAGGAATCACATCACATCCCTTCTCAAATTGGATGAGAAAACCAAGGTGTTCAAATCTTTCCATTGTAATAACCTGAATACAACAACATTAAAGAAAAATGAAAAACCGCATATCGTTTCCACAAGATAATGACAGGCTATCAAGCTACTTAGCTTTTATCTGGGGGCATTACTATCAAAAGTTTTGTTACCATGTAAAAAACACCAAACTGAAAGCATAAGCAATTCACAGAATATGATCATGAAGTAATCAAACCATTCAACCCAAAAATTGGCATCGACACACCACTACGCCACACAAACCATATTAAACAGAAATAGCTAGACTAAATAAAGCTTGAACATTCTGAAAATAGAAGAAGTTACAGTCCGACTATTATGATACTCTGATAATAAGAAAAAAAAACAAATTTGATCCCAAATAAGCCCTTAGCTACACATGATACTGCTTAGTAGTTTATTGACACTTGTTTGAGAAAATCTAGTTACCTTCAATTTCATAGTTTTCCCCGATAACTTTAATGTCAGTTTTATCACTTAAAAACCTTAAAAAATTTAAAAAAATAAAATAAAAAATCAATAGAGATAAAATCAGTTCACAAGTGATATAGTTTGCCTTTGATTACACAAAGCGCGG